TGCCCAGGGCACCACTGGGAGAAAACCCCCACGGCCCCCAGCACAGAGCTGAAACGCAAACAAACACGCTCTTTCGGAATTCCTCTCTAAGCACGCTTGGTATTCGCACCTGAAGGCTATCGCTGTGGACACAGAGACATTCTTGGGACACCCAGAAAAATGTACACACCAACTCCACGTCAAAAGATATTACTGCAGAGATCATCCCCCGCCACACATACACCTCTTGTTAGAGTGATACCATCGAATCTGGAAAATGAAGATCAAAGCCTTAATACAGCAGCCTGTGGGCCCCAGTATACCCCCAGAAGGGTTAGTCACCACATAATTATGTCATTATCCCACATAATCCTACTTAATAGCCCTCTAGGAGCAGGCCAACCTACTGTCTAAGAAACAGCCCCACTCAAAGACACCCAGTGGCTATTCTGAGAATAAAGCATCTATTATCATTCCAAGTAGCACTGACAGAGAATTCCCAGTAAAGATGGGAGTAGGGAGTCACGGAGATTCAAAGTGAGTCCAAAGCCCCAAGCCTAATTCCTGGCTTCCCTTCTCCACAGTCTCCCAGGGCCCAGAAACTGAATCCTCATCCATCCATCCTCCTGACTTCATCTTAACCTCACAGGAGCATCCGCTCTGGTCAAGTCCTTTCAGAAAGACAGGCAGGATGGTTTTTCCTTCTCAGACCTTTTGAGTCTTTCATATGCTGGTATTTTAGACCTCTTCTCACACAATTCTGCAGCTGTGAACACAACACAGTCCTGAGATTTCAGGGGTAGGGCTGCAGATGCCCACAGCAAGCCAGCCAGGGGGAAACCCTGAACCAGATAGAAATCATTTAAAAAACCAAAACCCATACTCACGTTACAGAAAAAAGATCTCTGTATTTATTTTGGTTTGGGGGCCACACCTGGCGGTACTCAGGGCTGACTACTCCTGGCTCTGAGCTTAGGGATCACTCCTGGTGGGGCTCGGAGGACGATACAAGGGGCCGGGAATTGAACCCAGGTCAGCCCTGCCCGAGTGCTTCACGCACTGTTCTAGCAACCAGACTCCCAGACATTTTGCACTTGAAGAGGCCAGAGACAGTCCAGGTCTGGGAGGAAGCCAGCTGGGCCCTGCAGCACCTGAGCAGCAGCCACAGCAAGGCCCGAACACAGCTGGATGTGGCCCCAACCAACAATTAGTTTAGAATGAAATGGTGGGGGTGGGAAGGCCCAGAACGAAAGTACAGGAGGGAGGGCGCTTGTCTTGCATGCGGCTGACCTGGGTTCAGTCCCTGACATCCCATACAGTCCCTCGAGCATCATCAGGGGTGATTCCTGAGCGAAGAGCCAGCAGGGAGCCCTGAGCATTGCCAGTTGTGCCCCGCCCAAAAAATCCATGAAATTGTATAAATAAAGGGGGCTGAAGCTATAGTCCAGCAAGACACTTGTCTTGCACATGGCCGATCGGGGTTCAATTCCTGGCACCCCCACGCACTGCCAGGAGTGATCCCTGAACACAGAGCCAGAAATAAGCCCTGAGCACTGCTGGGTGTGGTCCCAAAACAAAATGAAAGTGTGTGGGGCTGGGAAGGAAATACATGAAAAGGATAGAGGAGCAGCCACCCCGAGCAGTGCTCAGGGCCACTGGGCCAGAGCAAGCAGTGCTCTGGGGCCGTGAGCCATCAGAGGTAGAAAAGGGGCTGGGCGAAATACTGGGGCAATCTCCAGGTCCCCGAAAGATTTTAACAATCTTCATGCTTTCATTTCAAGAACTGTTTTGTGTGTGTGTGTGTGTGTGTGTGTGTGTGTTTCTTGCTTTGTGGGTCACACCCGGCGGTGCATAAGGGTTACTCCTGGCTCAGCACTCAGGAATTACTCTTGGCAGGGCTCAGGGGACCCTATGGGTTGCTGGGAATCGAACCCAGGTACGCTGCGTGCAATACAAACGCCCTACCCGCTATGCTATCGCTCCAGCCCCTCAAGAACTGTTCTGTTCTCTCATTCCCATGTGATCTTAACTGCCACTCCCCTGTGGCCTGTCGGTTACTGGCAGTGCTCTGGCGCCCTAACCTGCATTAGGTATTTGAGTGTGCTGGTTCCACCAAGGTTGCCATTGCCTGGCATGGGATGCAAGTGCCCAGACCAGCCCTGTTCTTGAGGAGCACAGCTCGTGCTGTCAAAGTGTCCAGGGTCGAGGAATTCAAACCAAAGCAACCCTCTGCTTTAACATGCCACAGAATGTAACCCTCCAAGCTGCCCTGGAGGTCGGCACTGTGATCCCACTTTCCAGGGCCAGCAGGCAGTGGGTGGGACACGGTAAATCCCAGGGAGGAGCTGTGACTGAGGCTTGCCAGTGCTGGGCTCCTTGGCTCCTCCCACAGCCCACAGCCCGCAGCCCGCCCTCCCACCCACCCACCCCTGCCAAAGCAGAGCTCCGAAGAAGAAAGGCCTTGTCGTGGGTGCAGGCTCTGCCAGCTCCCAGCTGTGAAATATACTGCAATACGCTAGAACACAACGCAGAGTATTTCTCAGTATACACAAGAGAAAAAAGGGAGAGGGAAAAATAAAACGATTCTACAGCTGTTCAGAGGGGACCCAGAACACAGAGAAAAACCCAAAACCCAAGAAGCCGCCTGCTCTGGGTCACGCACCTTGAGTGGCAGAGCTAGGAGTGAAGAGCCAAGCCTCCTGCCTCTGGCCGCAGTGCTCATTTGCCAGAATGCTCACACTTTCATTCTGTGGGTGGTAAAGAAATGACCACACTGTAGCCAGTGCACCCCACAAGGGGCTCATCCCTGGATGCCCATCAGACCCTGTGGACCACCAATTAAACATGATGATTCATTAAACTGGTTTGGTAAACGAAAAGGGGGGAGGGGGCAGGGACTCGACTGCCATAGTTAAAAAAATTTTTGAGGGGGTCTGGTGCCGCCAGCAGGTCAATCTGTACCTGTGAGGCGAGTGCATCAGCAGCCTCATGGCGCCTTCAGACTTCCAGATACTCCAAAACTGCTGCTGTGCCTTTGGCCAGACCCCAAAAACTTGGGGCAAAGTTTACCAAGAAAGTAAATGGCAAAAATTTAGGTATGTGGGAAACACACCCACAAACCACCTCCGGCTCAGCTATATAATTGGAGGCACTGCCTCTCTGGTTCCTGATTGAACTGCTTAATGGCCATGATCCCAGAGACTCAGAAACAAATCTCGAAACCCAGCGGCTTTTGGCAGAAATGCGTCCAGACCCCACAGTAGGTTACTGTCACCGGGCCACCCCAGGGAGGAAAGGGTGCTGTCCCTCCGCCTGCTCCCCCTTGGTGGCTCGGTGGTTGCCATCCTCCAGAGGCCATTGGACAGTCAGACTTGGGCCTGCAGTGACAAGACATGTTGGGCCTCACGGGATGGGGGTGGAGCCGGTCCTTTCCTCCCCACCCCAACGAGACCCCAAGTCATCGCCCACGAATGGCCTCTCTGGCTCCTGATCAAGCTGCTTAACGGCCATGATCCCAGAGACTCAGGAGCAAATCTCGGAACTCAGCAGGTTTGGGCAGAAATCCCTCCAGATTTAAGTGTTAAAATTTCAGAATTTCAAAATCGCGTGCCCACTACTGCAGCCACATGATATCATATGTTATTCATAACCAGCAATAGAAAACAAACTGTCTACTGTTGCCTTTTCAGCAGATCTGAGTGTTGGGGTAAAATCTCAAATAGTAATGGTGGGTCGGGTATCAAAATATTGAATGTGATCAAAGTAGAGAGAGAGAGTAATGTGGAAATCATCTGCCCCACAGGTAGGGGGAGGGTGAGGGATGGAGGTATACTGGGGTTGTTAGGGGTGGAAAATGGGCACTGGTGAAGGTACGGGTGTTTCATTGTATGACCGAGACTTAGACCTGAAAGCTTTGTAACTGCTCTGACGGTGATTCAATAAATAAGATTATAAAAAAATGGAAAAAAAAAAAAGGTGGAGTTCATGCACAATTCAATCAGCTAATCAGTGGCTGAATAAATAGCAGTACTCCTACATAAAAAAACAAAAAAAAATTGCTTTGGAGCCATACCCAGAAGTGCTCGAGGCTTACTCCTACCGGGGCTCCAAGAATTACCTGTGGTGCTAAAAATTAAGTCGGGGCCAGCCACATGCAAGGCAAACACCTACACCCCCGTTCTCTCTTTGCCCACCCCTCCACCCCCTGCCATGCAGGATTCAGTTAGAGACCTGACGGACATCCGGACCAAACTGCAGCACTAGTGTCCCCGGGCTGATGAGCAATCAGTGACTGGACAAAAGTATCAACACATGCTCGGCAATCTTGTCTCTGGCCAAGATGACCTCCTGTGAAATTGATTTTCTACCTCTCCACCATCCACCATCACTGGGCGGACAGAAGCCATCCGGGCACAAGCTGCCCACAGGCGCTGTCTGGAAGGACCTTCCCAGACCTGCTCTCCCGGCACCTCTGGAGCGAGTTTTATGTCGTCTCGGCGCCTCGGTTTCCTCTACTGAAAGAGGAGAAGAGACGGGCTCAGCCCTCACCGCACAGCCTCATGGAGGGCTGGAGAGAGCCTTTTTGGTTTGGGGGCTACACGAGGGGGGTTCAGAGGCTCCTGCCCTCGAAGTTCTTGCCTGGCCCTTTACGGAAAGCCTGCAAGCAAGTCAGGCCATCAGCACTTGGTAACATCAGCAGACCAGGGCCAGAAAGATAGCACAGCAAGTAGGGCGCTTACCAGGTTCAGTTCTGGGTATCCCTATTGTCATATGAGTACCCCCAGGAGTGATCCCTGAGCACAGAGCCAGAAGCAAGCCCTGAACACCACTGGGTGCAAAACAAACAAACAAACAAACAAAAAACAAAACCGGAAGAGACCTGCAGAGAATGATTAAAAGCACTGCAAGCCCAGGAGGGGCAGGCAACCATCCCAGCTCCTTGCAGCACGGAATTCTCACTTGGAGGAGTCACTGCCCACCGCCCAGCCCTTTGGGCGAGTCCCCAAAGAAACGCCCCTCACCTGACGGGGTCCTGCCACCCGGCGCCTCTGTGTGGTCCTGTGGCCGCGGTGCAGGCAGCACGCTGCTCTCCGGCTGGCTGCCCACTTTCACGGCCGAGCCCAGGTTTGCTGCAATGACCGGGAAATGCTGACCCCTCTTCAGAAGCTGTTTGTGTTCCTGGTGGCGAAATCGTGGCGGGACTTCCCGAGGATACCGAGGCACGGCCTGTGCTGGCGGCTGTGGCTGTGGCTGTGGCTGGGGTGGTGGCGGCTGCTGCGGGCTGCTACCTGTGGCTCGCTTGGCATTATTATTAGTGCTGGTTGCTGCGGAAGTGCCGTCAGGAGAGTTGGCAGGCTGAGGCTGGCTCACACTGGGCTTTATCTGTTCTGGCACTAATCCCAACAAAAGAAAAGGGGTGGACAAGATTAGCCAGCATGGAGTACCCACAGAACAAGCCGTCAACATTAAAAGGCAGGAGAGAAAACAATTTGAAAGCAACAGACGCATGCTGGGGGAGTGGGGGGGGGATTTCCTCCTTCGCAGAATAACGGTTTCTTGAGAGATGGCAGCCGTGGGGCAGGGATTGCTTCTGTGAACTCCTGACCCAATCCTGCAGGGAGACCAGTGACCTCCCCTACAACTCACGCCCACCTTCCCCCCCACCTCAGAGCTCAGCTGGGTGTGGCCCCGAAACAAAACGAACAAATAGAAAACTATAAAAGGAAAGGACAGTAACTGAAAATGTCACTAACATGAGATCAAGAAAAAAAAATTTTTTTTATGATTTGCATGCCAGGGAGGTGACCCACACCTGCACAAGAACCCTAACGCTCCATCAGGTGACCAGGAAACCAGAGGCAGAGAATCCCAAATCCCAATCAACTGCTCTTCACAGGTACCCCAGGAAAACTCACTGAAATCGGTAAAAACGTTAAAATGATGTAACAACTGATTATGAAGCTCAATACTCCTGGCAAGATAGAGGATGATCAGAAAGAGGGACGGGAGCAGGGCATTTGCCTTGCACACGGTCCATCCATGCAGTCCCGGTAACCTCTCATGGTGCCCAGAACCTGCCAGGAGTATTGTCTGAGAACAGAACCCGGAGTAAGCGCTGAGTATCACCAGAAACCCAACAAATTGTGAGACTTGTTGTTACCGTTTCTGGCATATCGAATATGTCACAGTTAGCTGGCCAGGCTTTGCCGTGCGGGCGAGATACTCTCAGTAGCTCACCGGGCTCTCCGAGAGGGGCAGAAGACTCGAACCCGGGTTGGCCATGTCGGCTGCATGCAAGGAAAATGCCTTACCCACTGTGCTATAGCTCCAGCCCTCAGAAACCCAAAAAGCAAATAAAATTAGTAAAAGAGAATATCCATATGAGTAAATAACCAAACTACAAGGGAGAAAAGCCCAAAATATGAAAGCCTTATCCACGAAGTGACACAGAAACTGCAGCAGAACCTTTGAGGCTGGAGACAACTAAACAGGCTGGAAAAGGAGCTCTGCACGCAGGAAGTCTGTGTTCGACCCGAAAAAAAACCGCCAGGAACGGTTCCCCCCCACCCCCCGAGCTGTGGGCAACCCCTGAACACCACAGGTGTGCTCCCCAAAATTAAAAGAATTTTTTTAATGAGGTTAAAGGGCTGAAGCGGTAACACCAGGTGGGGCGTTTGCCTTGCACAGCCGGTTGGCATCCCAGATTATCTCCTAACCTGCTAGGAGGAAGCCCCGGGCACAGAGCCAGGAGCAAGCCCTCAGCATCGCTGAGTGTGACCCAAATACAAAAGTTTTAAAAACTTAACAATGGTTAACATAAAATAAAAATCAGATGCCAAAAATAAACCCCAAAGTATCAAGAATCACAATAAATGTGAATGGATTAAAGTAAACAAAAGTTCTAAAACTAGATTAAAGGGGTGGAGGTAGGGGGAATCTTGTGCAAACTTGTAAAAATCATTCTCTATTAGGACAGTATTAAGGAAACTTCATTAAGTTATACAGTATTAAGTATTAAGGAGGAAGCAAAATAGAGGGACAATGGGGGGAAAAATGTAACAGAACTGAAACTGAGAGTAACACTAACATCCTAAAAGAGGAGACTCAAGGGAAAAAAACTACAAAGGATGAATGTTTCATCTGAATTTTTAAAAGTAACTAAAAAGACAGAAACAGTTAACAACCCTTATATACCAAACCTTTACAGTATCAAATCATGTGAAACAAATGGACAAAAAAATGAAAGAAAAAAAACTATACACTTTGAAAATAAGTAACTTTTTTCTTCAGGGAAAATATTCCTGAAGCTCTCATAAATCAAATCCATACAATGTGGCTATAAAAATGTATTTTAAAAAAAACAACAGACAGTACTTCAGAATTATAACAAAACCACAGCAGACACACACACACACAAAAAAAAAACAAAAAGTATGTCAAACTTGTAAGGAATACAAATTTGGATGTAAGAGAATTTCAGGGATAGAGCTTAATGGTACAACAGGTAGGTCCGTCTATTCAATCCCCAGCATCCCATATGGTTCCTCAGCACCACTGGAAGTGATTCCTAAGTACAGAACCAGAAATAATTCCTGAGCATCGCCATACCCCACCTCAAAAAAAAAAAAAAGTGAAAAAGGACATTTCAAACTGAGGAAAACTGTAAGATTACTAAAATAACAGTAGGGCGCTTTTGCGTGGCTTCGATTCCCCCAGTAGCCCTTCTGGTCCCCGAGCACTGCCAGGACTGATCCCAAGCACAAAGCCAGGTTTAAGACTTGAGCACCACTGCATGTGGCCCCAAATTCAAATAATAATAATAGTGGAAATTATGGAGTAACAAATTTTAGGACATGGCTAAACCACCCAAGAAAAATTCACAGCCTTAACTCACCTTCCACAATTAAGAAAAATATAAAACACTTACCATGTTTTAAAATAAGCTAAAGGCACAAATCAATGACTAAAAAGTGAACCTATCAGGCGAACACACAATCCAACTTTATTTTTAAGAGCCGTACTTCAAGTTAACTTTGTTTTTAAAATAAAACTGAAATTAAAGATGATTTTCTAAAATTAAGATGTTGCTTCAGACGCAATTTCATTGGTAATTTAAAAAATCGGAGAAGACAATAATGGAACACTCATCTCAGAAGTGGTGAGAAACCCACGTTAGTGGAGGAGTACCCAAGGAGCAGGCGCTGAGGAGAGCACACAGCGGGCCCGGGGCTTGGGATAGCATCACACACGGCCTCCCGTCCCTGAGAGCTGCGCCCCTAAGCCTTTACAGGGGCAGACACAACTCAGTGAGCTGGGGAACAGCTTTTGCATTTGGTCAGGGCTTCCAGGTTTGGCCCCTGGCACCTCACAGGGGTTCCCAAGGACCACCTAGCTCGACCCCCAGTGGTGGAGCGCCCCTGAGCAGTGCTGGGTGTGCTCCCTCCCCCTGAAAATCAAGCTGTTACTGAGCCCAATATAAAATGGAACACCAATTAGCGATCAAACAGACAAATGGAATGGGAATGAAAAATTATAAATTGTACTGGGAATAAAAAAGATAAAGCTTTAGATGTAGAGATTCTGAAAGAAGTGTATTTGGGGAGGGAGGGGGGAGGGTGTCCAACATATTGTCAATAAAGTAGAAAACCCAGCTAATCAGAGTAACGTTCGTCAAAGGGGTCAGTAACTCTTCTGTGGAAAGGACCAGGTAGCAAGCATTTTAGGTCTGGCAGATTTTGTCTTTTTTCTCAGGGGGCCACACCCAGCAGTGCTGAGGGTTTCTCCTGGCTCTGCACTCAGGTGACACTCCTGGCAGTGCTCTGGGGACCATATGGGGTGCCAGAGATTGAACCTGAGTCAACCCATGCAAGGCAAGTGCCCTGCCTGCTGTCCTATCTTTGTCTCATAACTTTGTCTCATAACTATTTTTTACACACACACACACACACACACACACACACACACACACACACACACCCTACAGACAACTCACAAACAAGTATGAGACAACGAGTATGACTGAGTTCCAATAATTTATGCACAAACAAAATAGGAAGTGGAGTGGCTATGTGTAAGGAAAAAGAGCCAAAACTTTATAGCAACTGTGCCTATAAAATCTTTATATATATTACTATTGAAATTCTGTGTGTGAGAAACCATTAAAAATATCACTGAATCATGATCAATAAAAAGTTAATATAATTATATAAAATATCACCCCTCAAAGGGGTCCAGGATGCCAGGCTGCTCACCCATTCACCCCCACAAAAATAAAAAATTTCAAAAATGAGCCTCATATAAATTACTCCAAAGAAAAGAAGTGCAAATTCAAATGAGTACAAAATCTTGGGGTTTTTTTAGGGGGAAGAGTGTTTGAGGAGAGCCCAAACCCAGCAGAAGTTGTTCAGGGGATGCTCAGGCCTGACCCCTGGCAGGGTTCAGGGAAACATGTGGGGTGCTGGGCATCAAACCCGGGTCGGCTGCGTGAAGGGCTAGAGCCCTGAAATAATCTTGGCTCTTGGCTTTGCAATCTGGTAGCTGCGTGAACATGAGCAAAGTACCTTAATAAAACTGCTCACCACCTTTAGTTCTCATCTGTGATCTGAGAGGAAAAATCCACATCTACACTATGCTGGCATTTTAAGAGGCTTCAACAAGATATTGGTGTGAAGAACTTACGACCAGCACCCGGGGTACCAACCAGCAGGAGAGGGTTCAGGGCCAGAAAAAGGCGGAGGAACACGTGTGGAGTATTTTCCGATAAAATCAACTACATCCGGACATCTCCGAGGCCACAGCTGTGACTGAGAGGCACTCATCGCTCTGAACCTGTAAAAATCTCCAAAAAGGGTCTCCCCGGCACTCGTCTGGGTTCCTGCGTGTCTTCTGCACTTGCTCCTGTCACCCACTTTCATCCTCTCCCCAAATCTATTGCTTCTCATCCCAGTTTATCATTAAAATGCTGTCAAGAATTGAAGTACTGGGGCTGGAACAACAGCACAGCGGGCAGGGCATCTGCCTTGCACACGGCCGACCCGGGTTCAATTCCCAGCATCCCACAGGGTCCCCGAGCACCGCCAGGAGTCATTCCTGAGTGCAGAGCCAGAAGTAACCCCTGTGCATCATAGGCTGTGACCCAAAAAGGAAAAAAAGGAGAAAAAAGAGAAAAAGAGAAAAAAGAACGGAATTCCTTAGCACAGCTCCTACCTGGCCACCTTTCACGCCCAGCTGCACTTCCTGTTCCAGGCAGTTGTCCGGAGGGCGCCATGCTTTCACTCTACTGTCTTTGCTGATGACCTTCCCTGTGAATCTGTCTCCCGCGGGAAGCAACGGACACCTTCCATCTGCCCTCAGCTCACTGCGGGGGAGTTTCTGACACCCAGCTGCCCTACCT